ATGCTCATCTGACCATAATTAAATACTAAAAACCACTGAGCTTCCGGGGGCCCTGCCCCCTGGACCCCACCAAGGGCTCTAAGGCGGGCCCTTGGATGCTCATCTGACCGTTATTAAATACCTAAAACCCCTGAGCTTCCGGGGGCTCTGTCCCAGTGGTGTACCTGAGGTACTCCGTGAGGAGGGGCAAGCGATCGAGAAGGAAAAAAGGGCGATGATAATTTTCACTTCTGGTGAGCGAGCGGCCAAAAATATCTTAAAGTAACGTTTGGTATATAAACCGGTATTGTTGCAAGTCGGGGGTGGGCACATTTATTTGTTAGCGGCGTTAATTTCATTTTTGCAAGCGAGCGTAGCGAGCAAGACAAAAAATCCCTTCTTTTTTAATAATTGCCACTTAAACTTGGTTCAATTGTCCCATGCCGGGTGCGGGAACAATATTGTGTTTAGGGTGATTTTATACCCATTTTAGCTAGCGAGCGAAAATACAATTTCTCTTAATGAATTGCTATCAAATTTGTTTCATTGTTCCAGGTCGGGGGCGGGCACAATCATGTTTCAGGCAATGTCAATCTCATTTTGGCGGGCAGGCAACCCCCCTACATTTCTCTTTTTAATGATCTTGTAGCAGGTCAGTGGTGGGCACATAATTCCACGAGGTAGTGAGCGAGCGAACATGGTACATGAACTTGGTTTCATTGTTCCATGTCAGGGACGTGATTATTAAAAGCGATGTTATTTCTATTTTGGCGAGCGAGCGTAGCGAGATAGCAAAATTTGTGTAATGATAATTGGTTCATAAATTTCAGTTTTTTTTGTTGTTGCAGGTCGGGGCTTACACAATCATGTCTAAGGTGATGTAAATTCCGTTTTGGCGAGAGAGCACACCAAAACTTCTTTGAATAACGTTTGATACATAATTATTAACTGGTTGTTGCAGGTTGGGGCGATGTTAATTTCATTTTGGCGAGCGAGCGAGCGTAGCGGGCAAGAAAATAAAAATCGCTTCTTTTTTTAATAATTGCCAATTAAACTTGGTTCAATTGTCCTCAGTGAATTGGTACATAAACTTTGTTTCATTGTTGCAGGTCGGGAATAGGTACAATCGTGTTGTCAATCCCATTTTGGCGAGCAGGCAACCCCCCCCCCCCCCCATTTCTCCTTTTAATGATATTGTAGCAGGTCAGTAGCGGGCACATTTGTTAGTAATGTAAGCATAATTCCACTTCGGCGAGCGAGGGAAAAAAAGTCACTTCTCTAAAATCACTTCTCTTTTAATGAGAACGTGGTACATAAACTTGGTTTCATTGTTCAATGTCGGGGCCGGGCACAAGCGTGATTTATAGTGAAGGCGATGTTACTTCTATTTTGGCGAGCGAGCGTAGCGAGCGAGAAAAACAAATTTAATGATGATTGGTACATAATTTTCAGGTTTTTTGTTGCAGGTCGGGGCTTACACAATCATGTTTAAGGTGATGTTAATTCCATTTTGGCGAGGGAGCGTAGCTAGAGAGCGAAACCAAATTTTCTTTGAATAACGTTTGGTACATAATTATTAACTGGTAATTTGTTGTAGGTTGGGGCGAGCATGTTTGTTAGCGATTTTAATTGTAAAGACAGCGTAGCAAGAGAGGGTTAAAAAATCAACTCATATATCAATCACTAAAACCAATCAATTAATCAATTATGGCGAGCAAGGAAACAATATCTCTTAAAATAACGTTTGATACTTATTTACTGGGTTTATTGTTGCAGGCAAGGGGGCGCACATATTTTGTTAGAAATGTCAATTCCATTTTGGCGAGCGAGCATAGCGAGCAAGCAAAAAAAAAATTCTCTTTTAATAGAAATGAATACATAAACTTGTTTTTATTCAGTGGCGGATCCAGGAAGCATTTGCAATTTTAGAACCACATTAGGTGCATTTTCAGGCACTTCTTGGAGTAATATGACGTAAAATATTATTGCTTTTCCTACCCCCTCACAAAGAGTAGGGATCCAGGGGCGGATGATGGGATCTGGCTTTTTGCTAAGGGGAGGGGGGTTGACCCAATGACGACACGGAGCATCGTCCACGAGCCGCGAAGCGGCGAGGCGATTTTTTTTGTTGTTGCCATTTTGAACCCCCGTAAGTGATGTTTTCCTGGCATCTACTGACACAATTATGGAGACCATAAAAAGCAGTGCATGATAATAACGTCTTTTTAAATCAAGTAACAGTTTAAGGGGGGGTCGACCCAAAGACGATGCAGAGCATTGTTCACGAGCCGCGTAGCGGCGAGGCGATTTTTTGGGGTGCTATTTTGAACCCCCGTAAGTGATGTTTTCCTGGCGATTTTTTGGGGTGCTATTTTGAACCCCCGTAAGGGATGTTTTCCTGGCATCTATATACTAACACAATGTAGACCATAAAAAGCAGTGCATGATAACGTCTTTTTAAATCAAGTAACGGTTTAAGGGGGGTTCGACCCATATCGATGCAGAGCATCGTCCACGAGCCGAGAAGTCCGAGCCGGGTAGCGGCGAGGCGATTTGGGGGGGGGGGGCTATTTTGAACCCCCGTAACTGATGTTTGCCTGGCATCTACTGACATAATGGAGACCATAAAAAGCAGTGCATGATAATTACGTCTATTTAAATCAAGTAACAGTTTAAGGGGGGTCGACCCATAAGACGATGCAGAGCATTGTCCACGAGCCGCGGCGAGGCGATTTTTGGGGTGCTATTTTGAACCCCCGTAAGTGATGTTTTCCTGGCATCTATATACTAACACAATGGAGACCATAAAAAGCAGTGCACGTCTTTTTAAATCAAGTAACAGTTTAAGGGGGGTTCGACCCATGACGATGCGGAGCATCGTCCACGAGCCGCGAACTTTTTTTTTTGGGGGGGGGGGGCTATTTTGAACCCCCCGTCAGTGATCTATATACTAACACAATGGAGACCATAAACAGCAGTTTATGATAACGTCTTTTTAAATCAAGTAACAGTTTGAGGGGGGTTCGACCCGATGGCGATGCGGATACTGTGTGGGTCTGGACACATGATGGCGTTTTTCTATTCACATTACATTTTCACTTGGCAGCCCAAGGGGGGGGGGGTTAAACCCCCTAACCCCTCCCCCATCCCCCCCCCCCCCACAGATCCGCCACTGGGATCTTTTGCAAACTGGAAGCAATAAGCATTACATGTAGGCGATGGAAAAGAAGTGCTTGCGAAACGGATAGAAACTTCGCGGCCACAGGGATGACAGAAAATAATATGACAATGAAACCAGCAACTGTGGCAGGATTAATGGCGGGGACAATCTGCATGCTGAAAGAGCACTTAGAATAGGTATAATGGAAAATTAATTCAAGACTAAGTTAGAAGTTAGAAGTTATAAGATATAAAGGAGATAAAATCTTTGGTACTAGTCACGTTCGACTTAAAATCGCATGCCCCCCCGCCCCATACCCGGTAAAAAAAAAACACCTTCTTATAATATCATCCCACTTTCTTTCTTTTCCCTTCTCATTATTCTCCTTTTCCCCCTTTTCTCTCCTCCGTCTTTCCGCCTTTTCTTCTTTTTCCGCCTTTTCTCTCCTCTCTCTTTCCCTTTCCCCTCCTTTTTCTCCTCTCCCCTTTTCTTTCCTCCCTCTTTTCTTCTTCTTTCTCTCTTCCCTTTTTTTCTTTTTCCTCTCCTTTTTCTTTCCCCCTCCTTTTTCTCCTTTTCTTTTTTTTGGGCCGGGGGGGGGGGGGCACGTGCCCCCTGTGCCCCCCCCCCTGGATCCGCCACTGTTATTGGTGCAGGTCGGGATGGGCGCAATTGCGTTTAACGCGATATCAATTCCTTTTTGGCGAGAGGCGAAAAAACACTTCCATTTTTAATGATATTGTTGCAGGTCTAGGGTGGGTACAATTATTTTGAAGGCAATGTCTATTCCATTTATTCGCGAGCGAGCGTAGCGAGAGAAAAACAATGAATTAGTCTCTTTTAGTAGCATTTGGTACATAAATTGGGTGTTATTGTTGCCATGGTTGCAGGTCGGGGCCAGTCGGGGCAGGCACAATATTATTGTATTCTAGGCAATGCTAATCCTTTTTTTTCTTCAGGGAGACGAGCAAGTGAAAACAATTAATACAAAATAGGCTAGCAAGCAGCTCGCGCCAGCGAAGAGTGTCGAATTTGTTATATCACTTATATTTTCCTATTTTCATTTGTCTTTTTCAGGGCCGTATGCGGAATATTTTTCTGGTGGGGGAGGGGGAAAGATGCGTAAAAAGTTTTCGAAGAAACTCAAAAGCGAAAGGAGTGAAGGGAGTTCGAGCGACCGAACTGGTCATGAGGGTACTTTTGCATTTTCAAACATAGAATTGAAGGATTTGGTATAGGCCTTCACTACTTGTAAACTTTGTTAAATATTTTCAGGAAAAAAACTGCACGTTTTCAAAATATCTGGGGTCAACTGCCCCCCCCCCCCCGTGCGTATGGTCATGGTCTTTTTTTTTTATTTCCCCATTTTTTTTATCTCGGCCTTTCTTTTCCCTTTTTCTTCCTCTTCTCTTCTTTTTCCTTTTTTCTCTTTCTTTCCTTTCTTTTCTTTTTTTTCTTTCCCCTTTTCCTTTTTTTCCCTTTCCTTTCCTTTCTTTTCTTTCCCCTTTTTTTTTACTTTTTCCCCCTTTTTTCCTTTCCCCTTCCCCCTTTTTCTTTTTTCCCTGCAGCCCGTCAGGGGGGGGGGCACTCTGCCCCCTTGCCCCCCCCCCCCCCTCAGGTACGCCAGTGTTATCGAACCATGGTTTATTTACTTGCATGTACACCAATTTTTGCCTGAGATGTTCTCCGAACTTTCTTCTCACAGACCCCAACTAATATAGGGCAGCATTTACAAAAGAATCACAAAGAAGTGTATAAAAACCATCCACATTCAACTGGGACGTTATATTTGATTGGCAGGGGCTAGTATAGGGAAGCTCTCGAGGAAAACAGAAATATGTGCGCATGCGCGTGGTGCAACGCACGTCACACAGCACATTCATTCACATGCGGAGCAAGCTGTTGTAAGAGTAGGAACTAGGAAAAATGGGGAAACTAAATGTATCGATGCTTCGTTACCTATCAAAAGAGGACTTTCGTGTTCTTACAGCAGTAAGTACCCGCGCGTTGACGTTGTAGTGTAAAATACATGGATTAGGTTTACGCATCCAGAATATCATAGTTCGGAATCTACATGTTTTAATGTGTGGTCCTATATGCATAATTCTGTGTGTGCTAGTAGTAGTAGTATTAGTATTAGATCTAGAATCTAGGATTAATGACATGTTAATTAGTCTAAAGGTAAAGACCAGTATTGGAAACGCCCCAATCTCAAAAAATGAAATGGAAGCTCTTATTACCAATCATGTGAAAGAATATGTTTTGACTAATAGATCTACATGATGATGAAAATTTTGCCGGGAAACCGGTCTGGAGGTCTAACGTTAGAGTAGATTCTAGAGTAAAGGAGCCGGTAATCGGCCAGCTCCTGTTTTCGGCCGATTGGTTGGATGCAAGGTAAAATCACTCTAAAATACATAGCATAATAGCATAACACATATCCCACACATACCATACCAGTGTCACTGAAGAACCACATTTGCAATGAAAAATATATCCTAAAATATCACATTTTAGCGATGTAATCGGCGGTCCCGCTACCCGAATCTGAAAAATCGAGTATCTTACGCGTGTCTGTAAGAAATATGGGTACCATAAAATTAGGGTGTCTGATCGCGCACCCGATGTTGTGTGCTAAAATTCTTCCCATAGAGATTACACGCATCCCTATGCAGCCTACGTGCATTGCGCGACCATGCAAAAAAAGTCAATTTTTTTTTTTTCAAATAGAGATTCAAACCTTTATCAGTTGTGATCCTGAAGGTGATAATCAATGAATGAGGTGTCATATGAAAGAGCAGGTGAATTCCAATATTTCCAAAGGGGCGTAGCCCCCGAAATTCTAAAAATATCTTGGTCAAAACAGCAATTTAAACATTGTGTCCTGGCTAACTCTGAGGTTTGTCACTTTTGAGATATGACGCCCCGATCGATAAGTAGTCCCAGTCCTAAGGAACAATTCTATGTGATTATATTTTCGCTAGCCCCCAGGGATCACAACTGATAACAGTTTAAAAATACCCTTCTCGCTATTTGGTGGATCAGCTAATTAGGAGGCGTGCGCTCCGCTCAGTCCAAACCATGGTTACATCGCGTAACATCTCCGCGCACGAACGAAACCCCAAATTCAATTACACATTATAGTGACTGAAATTATGGTTGGCAATTCCCTCGATAAACCCGGAAGTGAATACACGTTATAGTCAATGGCAATATCGCGGCAATATCGCGTTGTCTCCGCGATATTGCCATTGACTATAACGTGCATTCACTTCCGGGTTTATTGTGCGACGAACGCCAACCATACTAGTCAATCGCACATGTCGCGGAGACAGCGTAGCTCAAGCTGCAAGTCGCGGATTGGCTTAGCAGCATGCGTACGATATGCATACGCTTGCATATCGCGCGATACAGCTGTTTGGCTAAATTTAGCAAAACAACATCACTCTGCGTGGACGTCTTTTTCGTCGATTTTGACCAAAATGATATGAATATACCAGCGTGTTGGAGGGGCTGTAACTTTTGATAGAAACATCGGTGAGACTTGAAATTTGAAATGTATTATTCTGATAACATTTTTTATTCAAATATCAATCAAAAATGGTGAAAAACGATCCCAAATTGAAAATTGAAAAATCGTTCAGACACCCTAATAAAATGAGCTTTATTTCAAGTATTTTTCAGATTTAGAGCCCGATTTTGTGCTAGTCGCAAGCTCAAAAGTATCTCATCGCATGTATTAAATCAATGCAGCCGCACACCGCAACGCACACACGATATGTCTGTCTAATTCAGATTCCAACTTCCGATCACCGCTGTGCCTGTCTTCGGCCAGGCGAGCACCAGGGAGCTCCGGCGTGGGATACCTGCTCCGCCCGCTTGTGCTGTACATCAGCGCGGAAACGCACGGCGCGCGCGAGTGCTTCCTATTGACTTTGTACATGCGGCCGTAAACTGAAACGCTCGGCCGATAACTGGCTCCAAAACAGTGAAAATTGAAATGAATATTGTCATGGCAATTCGTAATTTTTTTCTGGGATTCTTTTTTTGTTTAAATAATAATAATATTTGCTTCATGATTTGAACAAGAAATGATAATAAATAGGAAGTAAAGAGTCCAAAAAATAGGAATTTGTCTTAAGTGGCCGAAAACGGGCTCCTTTACTCTAGACTACTAAGGTCAGGAGCCGGTTTTCGGCCACTTAAGACAAAATCCTATTTTTTGGACTCTTTACTTCCTATTTATAATAGGATTTTGTCTTAAGTGGCCAAAAACCCCCTCCTTTACTCTAGAGTAAACATGGTAAAGGAGGGGGTTTTCGGCCACGTAAGACAAAATCCTATTTTTTGGACTCTTTAGATCTAGGCCCTACTTCCTATTTATAATCATTTCTTGTTCAGTTCATGAAGCAAATATTATTATTATTTAAACAAAAAAAGAATCCCAGAAAAAAATCACGAATTGCCATGACAATATTCATTTCAATTTTTACTGTTTTGGAGCCACTTATCGACCTAGCAATTCAGTTTACGACCGCATGTACAAAGTCAATAGGAAGCGTGCCGTGCGTTTCCGCGCTGATCTATGGCACAAGCGGGCAGAGCAGGTATCCCACGCCGGAGCTCCCGGGTGCTCGCCTGGTCGAAGACTAGCACTGCGGTGATCGGAAGTTGGAATCTGAATTAGACAGACATATCGTGTGTGCATTGCGGGGTCCGGCTGCATTGATTTAATACATGCGATGAAATACTTTTGAGGTTGCGACTAACACAAAATCGGGCTCTAAATCTGATAAATACTTGAAATAAAGCTCATTTTATGGTACACATATTTCTTACATACACACGTAAGATACTCGATTTTTCAGATTTTGGTAGCGGGACCGCCGATTACATTGCTAAAATGTTATATTTTAGGATATATTTTCCATTGCAAATGTGGTTCTTCAGTGACTCTGGCATGGTATGGTATGTGTGGGGGTATGTGATATGCTATTATGCAATGTATTTTAAAGGGATTTTACCATGCATCCAACGGATCGGCCGAAAACTGAAGCTGGTCGTTTACCCCCTCCTTTACTCTAATAGTAGTCTAGAGTAACGGAGGGGTTTTTCGGCCACTTAAGACAAAATCCTATTTTTTGGACCCTTTACTTCCCATTTATTATCATTTCTTGATCAAATCATGAAGCAAATATTAATATTATTTAAACAAAAAAAGAATCCCAGAAAAAAAATCATGAATTGCCATGACAATATTAATTTCAATTTTCATTGTTTCGGAGGCAGTTATCGGCAAAGCGAACCAGTTTTCGGCCGCATGTACAAAGTCAATAGGAAGCACGCGCGCGCTGTGCGTTTCCGCGCTGATCTATTGCACTAGCAGGCAGAGCAGGTATCCCACGCCGGAGCTCGCCAGGCTGAAAACTAGTACCGCGGTGATCGGAAATTGGAATCTGAATTAGACAGAGATATCGTGTGTGCGTTGGGGTGTCCGGCTGCATTGATTTAATACATGCGGTGAGATACTTTTGAGCTTGCGACTAACACAAAATGGGCTCTAAATCTGAAAAATACTTGAAATAAAGCTCATTTTATGGTACCCATATTTCTTACAGACACGCGTAAGATACTTGATTTTTCAGATTCGGGTAGCAGGACTGTCAATTACATCGCTAAAATGTGATATTTTAAGATATATTTGCCATTGCAAATGTGGTTCTTCTGTGACTCTGGCATGGTATGGTATGTGTGGGATATGTGATATGCTGTGATGCGATGTATTTTAAAGGGATTTTACCATGCATCCAACCAATCGGCCGAAAAACTGAAGCTGGTCAATTACCCCCTCTTTTACTCTAGGGAGGCCAATGCCCAAATCTAACGTTTTAATTACTAATTTGTTTATAATAAAACAAACATTAAAAGATAGCATTTTCTTTCACTAAGAAAACTCACCCATCTGCCGACTCCAGAAGTTTCATAAAATAGGAGATATCCAGCTATTTTCTAGAACCTTCCTTCTACGCCTGGGCGTACGTAAGAGCCTTGAAACAATCAATTTCATGTCCCTGAAAATTACGTCGAGAATTAGACAGGCCCGAGGGAAAGGCGTGTCATTGACCGAACAACAAGTTCAAAATCATGAATCGGTCGCACACACCGAACCACTTTAACCAGGCAAGCCGCAATACAGACTGAAGTCCACAGAAGTTCCATGTCCCCTTTGCCCGAACTCTGCTATTCCAAACCACATTCTACCCAGATACTATCCGACTGTGGAACTCCTTACCATCTGCTGTCGTCGATTGCACCTCTTTGGAACTTTTCAAGCAGAAGGTGCAACACATCAAGCTCCGTTGAGCTTCAGACTGTTTTTTAGCTGCACATAGAATTCTTGTAGAGCCTTTTTACTTGCACTGTACACTCGGCACTTGACAAACACAAGGTACGATAATACGCCAACGGTGGACTGTACTATACTGGAAGAAGAAGAAGAAGAAGAAGTTGAAATCGAACCATCAATGTACGTACGACTACTACATCTACGAGTAAAAAAAGAAGGAAAGAACTAGATTTAATTCATTAATATTTACCTTAGATTGGTATTCCAATAACTTGATTTCCTAATGAGTATTCCTTATGATTTCAGTCGGAGATACACTGTACAATCAACAAGAACGACCTCCATAATTATCCATGCAGCTCACTCCCAGCGCTACACATGATACTACTACATATACAATGTACATGCATATCGCACATACGTACGTACTACGTATATGTAGTACCTGGATCTCTCTTTCTCTCTCTCTCTCTCTCTCTCTCTAAGCTGTCCGCGACAACACAATCACATCATCCAATCATATCTTTCCGTCCTAACTTCTCAATTGGAGTATAGACTGCTCACTAAGGCTGCGACGGGTAGTCGAATGCTCGAGTACCCGCACGGTTGACAACTACTCGGGTACGATTTCTCGTACCCGAATATT